TTGATTTTCTATAGATTTGAGTTTCTAATTCTCCTGTGGTTGTTCGCTTGACTAAGACGTCCAAAAATGGGATTTCGTTTTCTGATACCATCCAGCTCAGAGAACACAACCATATCAAAATCATCCACCCGAGCTACAAATCTTCTCTATCATATCTATACATTTCCTTTGTTTAAACTTGAGCTCCATATGCAAAATCTATATAAGCGCAATTTCTGAACACTGTTCATTAAGTTTGGAGCCTCCTGTCAACTGACACCATGTTAAATTTACAAGTATGTCAAAACTTTTCTGTACATAAATTTAATAATTTATTTAGGCTGTGCGAAGCTGATGAGAAGTTTTAATATTAGAACAAGACATATAAGCGAACAATATTGTTTTCAATTAGATCTTCTTCAGGCTTTACTCTAATTAACATAGATTTATATATAAAAATTTTTAACCAATGACGGTGGTGATTTTGTGGATCAAATAATAATAATAATGTGGTAAATGTTTTGAACGTCAGTAATAACGATGATTATAATGATAACAAAATATTGATAATAAGGTTTATGCAGGTGGCGATAAGAATAACAAAGGTAGTAATATGTGTATATGTAGACAATTCAATAAATAAATTAGGTCAAATCTTAAAAGTTACGTAATACTAAAGGTGAAGTGGACAGATAATCAGACTTTAAATAAATAACATAAAAATACGAAGGAGATGGAAAATAAGAAAGGGTGGGAGGGTTTTGAATAGAATTCACCTAGGCCAAGGGAGAGACAAAGGTAGAACAAACTTCTTTTGTATGCAAAGACTAGGATTGTTCTCTCGAATTAATTCCCATAGCTTCGGCTATGTGTAAAAGACGGGTTCGAATTCCGTTCGAAAGGTTCGATGGAATGCGATAGATAACTTTGAAGGCACTATTTTTGTCCACTTGGTGACCACTATCAATCAAATGAATCAAAATAGAACTTCTTATAGATTTTATTTGGCCTTTTCAGAACCATGAAGGAAGATGTTCATAAATACGTTTGTTGAGTTGTCTAGTTGTTCGCCCTATATAGCTCTCTCCACATGAGCAGCTAAATTTGTAGATACACATAGAAGTGGCACAGCTAGGTAGCTTGTCTTTCGCTTGAGCAATCATAATTGGTCGGCTGGAAAATGACAAACAAAGGGTGGTGGCAGTATAAGTCCGTTTTATCGCTCTCGATAATCTCAGATGTAAGACTTCGCTAGCCACGTCCCCATTAAATTGCAATTTCATGAACAGTTGTTTCTTTTCAACTGTTGTCAGTTTCTCTTTATTGTACTTGGTGTTCATGTGTCTCCTAACAAATCTACTAGGATAACCCATTTGGACCAGCGTATTTTGGATGTATCCTAACTCATTTTGTAGGGAGTCATCTGTACAGATACGTCTTGCTCTATTCGTGAGGCATCTGACCAAATTGACTTTGTATCGGATTGGTACAAAACTGAGGAAATGTGTATATTATCCTACAGATGTAGGTTTTCTATAGACATCTCTCTTGAGTGAACCATCCTCTCTTCTGCTCAATTGGACGTCAAGGAAATGTAGTCTACCATCATGTTCTTCTTCACAAGTGAAGATGAGCGATGGATGTGCATCATTAAATTTTATTAACATTTCATTCTTGTCAGCTTTCACATCAAGAATAATAAACGTATCATCAACATAACGAAAATAAGAATCCGTTTTATCTATTACTTGTTTCAATGGACCATTTTCAAGCTTAGCAAGAAAGAATTTATGCCTAAATTGGACCCATTGGAAAACCCATGGAAATATCGTCGATTTGTCTGTAATAAAGGTTGTTGAATGTGAAGTGTACATTCATAGTACATCTTAAAAGCAACTCTTTCAGACTAATAACTGGAATTCCGATGTCGAACTGTTTTTCTAGTATCTGTTGGCATATGAATTCCACAGTTTCCATAAGTGGTACATTGGTGAACAGTGATGCGACATCTAAGGATAGCATTTGCTTCCCATTTACATTGATATCATCTACGTTGGCAATGAATTCAAAAACGTCTTTAACACTATGATTTACTACCATCTTGTGTAACGGTTGGAGGAGTTCACCTAGCCACTTTGCCACTCCATGGTAGGTGGAATTAGACATATCTAGGACTGGGCGAAGAGGAATTCCTGGTTTATGTACTTTGGGCAGACCATACAATCGTGAAGTATTACTTCCAGTAGGTTTAAGACGGTTGTAGGCTGCCTCTGAGATTACTCCACTTTTTTTCAGCTCCTTAAGCGTGTTAGTTAACTGCTTTTCAGCTTTTCCATCTAGATCTGTTGGGTTACTAAGCTTTTGGAACTTCGTTTCATCCGTTAGAAGCGAATTTCTATTTGTAGACATAACCGCACTTATTCATCAGTACTACTCCGGCTCCTTTATCAGGTCTACTGATTATGATGTTTTCGTCGTTCCTTAGGGCTTCTCGATACTGTTTAGTCAGCAAGCTTTTACTAGAATGACTACTGTTTTTGTACTGCTGACAACTGTCGACTAGTGTAGTTTTAAACCTAGCGACTTCATCGTCTGACTACCTTTGTTATTCTTATCGCCACCTGCATAAACCTTATTATCAATATTTTGTTATCATTATATAATCATCGTTATTAACTACGTTCAAAACATTTACCACATTATTATTTGATCCACAAAATCCCCGTCGTTGATTAAAACATTTTATATATAAATCTATGTTAATTAGAGTAAAGCCTGAAGAGGATCTAATTGAAAACAATATTGTTCGCTTATATGTCTTGTTCTGATGAGAAGTTGACGAATTATCAGTTATCATAGAAACACTATCGAAATACTATCTATAAAAGGGTGGATAGAAAATTTATTCAGAATGGCCATAACATTCCGAGCAGAGATAATTATCATGGTCTCTGTCCTCTCCTTTGATTCTACTATTATTATTATTATCATTACCATTAATGTTGGCAAACTCATTTCTTGCATTACACTTGTTGTTTTGATCTGAAAGAAATTTTTTATACAATGACGTAGCTACACCGCCTAAACTGAAATTATTCTACCTATCCTTTATAAATTTTATTGATGAAAAAAGAATCAGCCATTCCGTAAATGGTTGCTTTCGTTTTTATGCTTCAATGGATGTTTTGCTTTTGCTTCTATTTACTCAGTGGATCATGTATCAGAAATGATGAGGAATGATGCTGAGGAATTTTAAGCTTAATTTTATTTAAATTTATGAAGCTTTCGTTACATTTATTATTTTCTAAGACTCTAGACTTGAATATCGTAACATTGATGTGAACCTACTAAGATGAATTATGTTATTTATGTTTGCTTTATTTATACATGAATTAAAAAGGTTCTAGAAAAATATTTTTCTGATTAGTGGGAACTCTGTAAATATTTTTTGTTTGTTTCGTCCATCCTTAAATCACACAGAAGAAACTAATACATTCTAGTGTGTACATTTGCGGATGATACATTACGTGTAATTAATGAAAAAACGTGTTCATCATATCACACTTTTTTTTCGGAAAATTCATATGTGATTGATATTATCGCCAGAATTGGAAAGGCAGGATACGCCTTGACCAGCCTGAAACCAGTTTGGAAATCTTCTGCACTGACTCAGTCAGCATAAAGAACAAGATTCGGATTCTACTAAATACAGATGTGAAGTCAGTCAGTCAGTTCTTCTATACGGATCAGAAACTTGCACTTTGCATCACGAAAAGCATTTCCAACAGGCTGTTGTAGACTTTTATCAACAGCTGCCACCTTCGCTGGCTGCCTGCATACTGAAGATCAAATGGCCAGCCGGCCGGTCAGAAAGAATTAGCAACAAGAAACTCTGTCAGGCAACAAACCAACATGTGAGAGCCGATTGCTCAACAAATATGTCGGAGAAAATGGAGATGGATCGTGCATACGTTGAGGATACCGTCGGATGACATCGCGCACAATGCAGACCATTACTCAAGTGGAATTTTAATGGGAAGCGATGATTGAGTCATTTGATAATAACGAGATATCTGTGGTAACTGAGTAACCTACAGTTGCTTCAAACCTCACCAACGTTTTTTTTATCCTTCACGTTCCCCAGTGGAACATAGGGCTTCAAGCTAGTGGCATGAAGTTTCTGTAGCAGTGGTGTTTGTTTTTACAGGATGGGGTTGCTAGCCTCATGCCCAACCTTTCTTCTTCACCAGCATTATTTCTGGCTTAGCGAGGTAAAGGAGTGCGTCCAGTGGCCGGGGATCGAACCCCGGACCATGTGCATGGTCGGCGAGCGTCCTAACCGCTATGCCACCGACGCATCCATAAAATTCAGGGTACATATAATCTAACTTGTTTTTATACACGGCATTTTGTTAAATTACTGCAACAAAGTTTCATCCCTGTCTGTATGCATAATGATGATTATAGTTGGTCAAATGATTCCCTAACACATTAATGTATCTGAAAATCACGCAATCTTATACATTCGAAATGTATTTTAGAGAAATTCTTATTAACCATAATGATAATTTTCCCTCTGAAATGAAGCTAATAATATCTTATGATCAAGTAGTAGTATCTATCAGTATAACTTAAGATTGGCACATGGTGTTTATGAGTAAGAAAAAGGATAACCATCAGCTTTAACTTGATATATAAATATATTAACAAAAACTGGAATTTCCTAAAGAGTTTGACAGCATGAATGAATGGAGTTCTCTTTTACTTTTATTTTGCAATATAAATGTTAGGCTTTAGACAACTAATTGTCACACTCAATCTTTACATTATATACACATATATATATCCGTTTGAAATCACTTTTTTCCCTGTCACAAGATACTTACAGTTTTTGTAACATTACAGACAAAAAAAAACACTTAGAAATTTTCTTACACTCTATAGTTTTCAAAAAAAAATTCATCAGACACTACTACAGCTTTTTTCTTTCCCGTCATTATGTCTACTTTTCATTTATACAGAAAATATGTAACATCGTTGAAGAAATTGATACTTCTTTAACATCATCTTTCATCCCACCATCATCCTCGTCATCATTGTCGTCAGCTGTGTCATTGCCGCATGCAGAAAAAAACCCAACACATCAATCCAATCTATTCAACACTAGACAATTAAGTAATCACCAGTGCTTTTCTACAATCAATTGGAAAGAAGTCACAATCATTTCTGTTGATATAGATGATTTTACAGAAATTACATATCACTTTATAGAGACATGTAATTTTGAATGGAATAAACACTGTGAACAAGTATACTATGGGCATTTGAATATTGGAATACCAGATATATTTACTACAGAGATATACCAGAAATCTATCTATCAATCATTAAGTTTAAAAACTGAATATACCAAAAGTATACAAAATAATGTGGATAAACAATTTGATCATTTCCATAGCAATAATGAAGGCAATGGCGGCTCAGTTATTTCAACAATTAGTAAAGCAATTTTCACTAGTGAATCTATGTATGCGAGATCCATCGTACCAATGAAATGGATATATTATACAACAAGATGGTCTAATTATCTTCTTCCTGGAAGGCAATTGACTGAAAATTTTCTAAAACCTAACTGGGCATCACCATATCGACGTGCTTCATCAAAGCAACTGTTTGAAGACTTACATCGTTATATATTGAGTGTTGAGTGGCCTCATGCAAGTCAAATATTTATACTTGATCCACTTGTAAGTTCAGATTATTTTTTGAAATTACATGTCGATTACGATCTTTCATTATTTGCTTCTACTGACGTGAATCATATTTACCATCTGATGGCTTATTTTCATGGCATTTTGAGGTGACAAGCTTTAGATTAAAGAGCCATTGAGGAAAGGCATAAAGTCAACTGGAAATGTATTAATAAGACGAAAAGCTGGCTCTGCATTACATGTTTATTCCTCGTCCGGCTTACAAAGAAGCTCATTTGCTGCTATTCTAATTACTAACGTTTCACACACACAAATCAATTTCATTGTTAGTCCATTGTGGGTTTGTAGGAGTATCAGTAAACAGTCTCGAACCAGGACGAAACAGGTTTACAATGTTTCATCAAGATTATGTTGGTTTGTAATGAAATCAACCTTGGAATCAATCAAATCTTCAAAAACCCAATTATTTATTATTATTATTGTTCCCTTGGGTTCCTAGTGGAACATAGAGCTTCAACTGCACGTCTCCACTTGCTTCTGTCTTCTGCTGTACTTTTCACCTGCATCCGTGTTAGTCCATACTGTTTCAACTCCTCTTCACACGATCTCCTCCATGTCACCCTTGGACGTCCCACTCGCCGCTTCCCTTTCGGGTTCCACTCGAGCTATGGTCTGACGCGCGATGTCACCCAACGACCTCCTCAGCGAGTGTCCAATCCATCTCCACTTTCTCCTGCATATTTGTTGGGCGATTGGTTCCTGTTTTGTTTGTTCCCATAGCTTCTTGTTTGTGACTCTTTCCGGCCATCTAATCTTCAGTATAGAACAAAGACAGTTGTTGATAAAGGTCTGCAACAGGCTGTTGGAAATATTCTTTGTGACCCGCCAAGTTTCTGATCCATCCGTATAGAAGAACTGACCGACTTGACGTTTGTATTGAAAATCCGAATTTTGTTGTTGATGCAGGCTGAGTGACGAAGATTTCCAGATTGGCTTCAGGTTGATGAATGTGTTTCTCGCCTTCCTGATTCTCGATTTGAAATCTTCGTCCGTTCCTCCTGTGGTTGAGACAATGCTCCCTAGATAAGTGAAAGAAGTAACCTCTTTCAAATCCCTCCCGTTGATGGTGACTGGCGCTGGATGTTGCTACAGCTGTTGTTGTTGTTGGTTGGTTGGTTATTTTCATAGCCCCCATCTTGTCTATGTTCACCTGGAGTCCTGTCTTCTCTGGCTGCTTCTTTGACCAGTTTGTCGGTTTTCCCTTGTAAGTCTTCGATTTTGTGTGACATCAAACATAAATCATCCACGCGCGAAATCCAGGTCTTCTAGATTCTTCACGTCGGTCCAGGATATCCCTGTCTTCTCGTTTCCCACTGTCTGACACATAATCCAGTCCACCACAATTAGGAATATCATTGGTGATAATAAGCACCCTTGTCTGACTCCTGTGTTTACTCCAAACGCCTCGCTGAGTTTTCCGTTGTGGATCACTTGACATGATCCACAAAAACCCAATAGATTAGATAAGTGATGTAAAGCAACATTACATTCAATCATACATTAGTTAATACACCCTATTATAGTGTTAAGCCCACCTATAGGAAACTGTATATAGGCTGTTATTATCACCTTATACAACAACGCAATCTGAAGAAATAAATATAAAACGAAAAGGAAGATAGAATCTACTTATCTCAGAAGTGATAAAGGAAAAGAAATCAATAAATAAATTATAGGATGAAAACATAGTGGCTTATTCAGTGTTTGTAAAATGGGTAAGCATGGATTTGCTTGCAGATATATATATATATATATATTAGATATCATTGATTTTTTAGTTGAATGATAGTGTAATGGCAGAAGATAAGAGAAGTGGCAACGAACTATTATATTGATGAAAAATGCATCATATTTATGCATCTTTAACCACATTAAAAGTCGGCTAGGTCAACGGACAATAAACTGTTCTGATTGGCTGGCGATTGGTTCAACATCAAATTAAGGGACGAGAGGCTATCCAATGAGATTATTCCCAAATCTCAAGGTATACTAGATCGAGATTCGAGGTGTAAACACTTCTACCCTTGCAGCCATTGAATTAAAATGTTAATTTCAATTTCAGCCGCTGCGTTTATATAGCATAAGCCACAATAGTTATGTGCAGTCCATTTCCCAACCGTTTAAATCCATGACGTTCACAAAGTCATTGACTAATTCCCTGGGCGTAGCACTGCAGACTGATATTATTTGCTTAGTTTTCTTTAGCACTGGAATACAACACTTCTGTTCCGTCAGAAACGATGCAAGTTGGTAAATGAAGAAATTCCATTTTGTTCGCATGCCAAGATTTGGTCAACAGGCAATTCATCAAGGTAATTACAACCACTTAACTCCCAATCCCTAAATCAGGAGTCAGGGTAGGTCTGTCTTTTAGAATCTCTTCTCATTTGACTCAGGCAGATCTCATTCCAAGAATAACCGGAATTTTACTCAGCGTGTTCAGAAGATTGTGCATTCTCTCAACAGATTCACGTAGAAAGGACCATATTGTTTATATGCTCTGAATCAATGGAAATATTCTGCAGTATCTGGTCAACTCCGAATAGGTCAAAATCAAACACAGTTTCATTCCTTACTATATCTATGGTAGAAGTGAATAAGTTCTATTTTAAAGTTTTATTTTTTACTGAGGTCATGTTGTAAATCACAGCTCCATGATGTGATCACTGCTGACAGGGCCTCAGAAATCTTCCAAATTTTAATAAATCTTGCCTTCAGGTTGTCATATGTCTCCATCCATATTTCTACAGTAGATTAGATATAGCCCCAGCCTTCTTCACTAAGGGCACCGCCATCTTGATCAAATGAATTTTTAATCAACGACTGCCTAAATGCAGCTTACGTCTAGCTAATGACGGGAAGATGTATGCGTGCATGTATTGATACCTGGTTAAAATCCACACACATCCCAGAAGAAGTAGTACACTTTCACCTATCTCCATTTCTGGTTTGTGGAAAAGTGGTCTGTTTGCGTCCATCGTTGCCTTGGTTTCCACAGCCACTAAAGACAGTCGACCTTTTCTATCTCCTCATTGACAGAGCAGGTAGACAGAATAAGTGACTCACTGGTCATTCGTGTGGAATACATTACAGTCACCACACTTCTTTTCACCAGCTGCACAACTTCTATCCACACTCACACATGAAAATACGCTATGATGGTAACCGTCTTCGAACTTACCAGTTTCCAGCTGAAATGATAGAACGTGCAGGAAAATTTGTTTCAGCTGGTGTAACTTGCTAGGTAATTACCAGAAAGTGGTAATATCGTTTCGCCAGGAGGTGCAAGTATATCGTGCCAATAGGCTCGGAATACAAAAATAAAACATGTATCTTGAATTCTACTGTTAGTCACAATCGGACAAAAAAATATCAAAATGGACATAATAAGTATGGGTAGTTTCGCTCTGATTTACCAAAAACAACTGATAAACTCATTTAAATCAATGAAAAATTACAAATATAATCAAATAACGACGAACCATGGTTTTTATTCCATATGAATAATCTTCTTGAGTGTATAAGAGATGAAATACTTGATAATTTCCGACATATTTAACAACTCATGACTAAACATCACTCAACAACCTTCATGAAGTGTGGCACAACGTCCTATGCAACCATAAATATTCAGATAAAGAGTCAATAACAAGGTAAGATACCTCATATACCATCCTTTCAGTTTTGTTTCAATGAATACAGTTAAAGCTGCGCCAAAATAATTGAACCTTGCTTGGAAATTTATTGGAAAGTAAAAATCAGATAGATAGATCTTTGTGAAATAAAAAGTGCATCAGTTGGGGGATTTCATCATGAGCTAACATCAGTTAGAGAACCATTGGAAAACCAACGGGGAGTACTGGACAGCTGTTTCGTCAGCCTGGTTTGGGACTCTTCGGCAGTGCGCAACCACCGGGGTTCGAACCAAAGACCTTCAATACTGGACAGCTGTTTCGAACCCCGGTGGTTGCGCACCGCCGAAGAGTCCCAAACTAGGCTGATGAAACAGCTGTCCAGTACTCCCTGCACGTTTTCCAATGGTTTTCTAACTGATGTCAGCTCATGGTGAAATCCTCCAACCGATCAAACCAAACTCCCTACAAAACCAATACTTGAAAAAGTGTATCACTTTGCAGTATTGATCTGAAACGATAAGTTCAGTCTGAAGAAGTTTGGTTGTTAACTGAGTAACTAGTTTCAAAAATGTCTTTCGGTGAAACTTCGCCAGACACTGGGAGAACTAGAAATTCTATAGACGTTGCAAACATACTTTATTTATAATAAATAGTGCGCACTTAAAAGGGTCAATAAGCTCCTACTAGTCACCCTTAACCTTTCAATGTTTAATGAAACTTTCCTCCTATGGGAGATATAATATACTGACAACAGGCATATAGGTGGATTTTCTAATCCTAAACATAAAATGACACCTATTAGAAATTCCCTGAGTACGCTGTGCCTCAAAACTAAGTGTTATGTTGTGTTAGTAATGAGTTTAAGCCAAAAAAAACAAAAAAATGCTAATTAAGTGTGATTTATACCAGGAGAAATAAAAAATGTTTATCAACTAAACCAAATTCAAAAGTAATGAAAACAATTTCCAATATTATTACTATTGAAAATATTCCATAGAAACATAATTCTTTGCAAATATACTACGCAAAATAAAGCAGAACACACTAATTTAGTTTCAGTTAATTAGGTATTCCAATTGCATTAATAAATATGATAAGTATTACAATGCTTTCAATGTTTATTATTTACTGCACTATGACGTAAATCTGTTCTCAGCCCTTTTTATTGACATCGTTCTTATGATCAGTGATTTTGCTTTATCCATCTGTCTTCTAATAAATATTTATCTCTAAAATAAAAGTATAAGATAAAACGATATTATAGGGTGATATCGTGTCGGTGGCTTTCAGCGGTAGGAATGCTCACCAACCACGCATGTGGTCCGGAGTTCGATTCATGGC